GGATGACGCTCTTCCAGGTGTGTGTGCGTTTAGTTGCATGGGGACTCCTTTAAATGTGGATGACGCTCTTCCAGGTGTGTGTGCGTTTAGTTGCATGGGGACTCCTTTAAATGTGGATGACGCTCTTCCAGGTGTATGCAGTGGCATGTACGTGTGTGTGTCATTACCCATCCCCTCTGCGTGCGTTGGGATTAATTACATGGGGACTCCTTTCTCTTGAGGTTTAAGGTTTTATTTTGGGTGTGCATTGGAATTATTTGCTCACCATTCTTGTAAGGACTGTCGCTGGTCACAATTAGGGTTTTAGGGTTTGCTCGTGGGTGGTGTGACTGGTGGCCATGGGTTCAGGTGACATTACGCGCGATTGCCACACTAACACTCATACTCATACTCACGAATCACGTATCACTCTCACGTATTACGTATTACGTATCACCTGCGCAATGATAGCAACCGACCAGTGCAACTACATACACCACACACACCACACACACCCACCACACACCACATTCAGCAGCAACGACACGCCACTTTCACCTGCATGCTCGTCAACAGGTCACATTGTCACAAGATATATTCGAAAACAAATGCCTCGCCTTCATTCTACACATTTCGTTTATTTACGTTTGACATCCGTGGCATTGCAGGGACGGTATATCATCATTCTCATGGGCCTGTTCTCCATCTACACCGGAGCCATCTACAACGACATCTTCTCAAAGCAGATGTGGATTTACCCCACGGGATGGGACCTGCCAACGGAACCCTTCAACGGCACATACAAGCTCAACACGACTGGCCTGTGCTACGCCGCTGACTCGCCCGACTGTAAGTGCCTGCGACTGCTAGACGTATTGTATGCATGCAAGGCTTGTGACGTATTCATGCAAGGCCTGTGACGTATTCATGCAAGGCTTGTGACGTATTCATGCAAGGCTTGTGACGTATTCATGCAAGGCTTGTGACGTATTCATGCAAGGCCTGTGACGTATTCATGCAAGGCTTGTGACGTATTCATGCAAGGCTTGTGACGTATTCATGCAAGACTCGTGACGTATTCATGCTAATACGTTTTAGGATTTTAGGCACGCCTTAGCTGCCTGCTGTTTACATTTTAGGGTTTTAGGTTCGCCTTAGTTACCTGTTGTTAACGTTTATGGGTTTTAGGCTTGTAACGCTTTCCCTATCGCTCACATACACTGCACAGTGTGCCCGATGTGCCCTGATGGCTGTGGATGGAATGGCAATCCGTATCCCGTGGGTGTAGACCCCACATGGACACTGGCAGAGAACAAGCTCAACCAATTGAATTCGTTCAAGATGAAGCTGTCTGTGCTCATCGGAGTGGTGCACATGAGTGTGGCTATATGGTACGTGACATCCGGCCCATCCGCTTTTGGTGATGTCGGGGTTTTTTGCTTTTAGGGTTTTAGGGTTCCAATCGCCCCTGTTGCTGCTGTACTGGGCGTATATCTCTCTTCTCTGCGTAGCATTGATTGCAAAGACCTATTGGCCACTGACACGGTTTGTGCGTTTGGCTGTGCCCATCCCATTGCAGTCTGCAGTGTGTCAATCATCTGCACTTCGGCCAGTCCTACCGCATTTGGGCTGAATTCTTCCCTCAATTCATCTTCCTGATAGCCATCTTTGGATACATGGACATCATGATCCTAATGAAGTAGGTTGTCTGTGGCAATTGGAACGTCATTTATATTCCTCATGACTTGTCATGGTGCTTTCAAATTATTTGTAATTCACGACTGTTCTGAATGCGTTGTTTAATAACTTGATACGCTCTGCAACTCTCTGTACTGTTGTGCGAATCTTAGAAGGGTCTCAATCGAATGTGTTACAAGAAAAAGTTAATTGGAGCATCTCATCAGACCCATAGAGCTTGCAATACTCGATTGCTGGATGCGCCATAGCCCCATGACATTGATATGGGTGATTGTTAAGTCCCTTCGAATGCTTATTCATTCACTTTGCTTGTTTGCGTGTTGTTTGCTTCACATGCTCATCCATTCACCTCACTCGCTTGTTTGTGTTTGTGTATTGTTTGCTTCACATGCTCATCCATTCACCTCACTCGCTTGTTTGTGTTTCTGTGTTTGTTTGCTTCACATGCTCATCCATTCACCTCACTTGCTTGTGTGTGTTTGTGTGTTTGTTTGCTTCACATGCTCATCCATTCACCTCACTTGCTTGTGTGTGTTTGTGTGTTTGTTTGCTTCACATGCTCATCCATTCACCTCACTTGCTTGTGTGTGTTTGTGTGTTTGTCTGCTGCACAGGTGGTGTATGACCTTTGACACCATTTGTATTCCTGCGCTGGATCAGTCGTGTCCCTTGGAGAACTCCGTGCCCCCGGGTGACGTCATGCGGATACAAACAGACCCCAACCTGCTGGTGACCATGGTCAACATGTTCTTGGCCCCTGGCACGGTATGTGCGCTGTGGCTGCTCTCATTTCTTGTCACCTATAGCTACGCTCTCCTGTCCACGGGTGGCCGTGAATCAACCGTTGCAACACTTTTTCTGACTTCCGATTGTTCATTCCGCGGACGTTATTGCTCATTGCGTTTCTCATTGCGTTGGCCGTTGCGTTGACCATTGCGTTACTCATTGCATTGCTCATTGCGTTGTCCATTGCGTGGCTCATTGTGTTGCTCATTGCGTTGACCATTGCGTTGCTCATTATGTTGCTCATTGCGTTGCTCATTGCGTTGCTCAATGCGTTGCCTGGTTGTTTGCCACAGGTGTCGTATGAGGACAACACGTATCTGTACCCAGGGCAGGCAGTGGCGCAGACCATTCTGGTTGTGCTGGCGTTGTGCTGCATCCCGTGGATGTTGATCGCTAAACCCGTTGTCATGAAACAGCAAATGCAGAAGCAGAAGATGATTGTATGTCCCCCACCACGTCCACAATACCATGTGTGGTCGTGCGCATTGAATTTGCCATGGATGCGCCCGAGAGGAAACTAGATTCATAGGGCGTGTGCATATGGCTACTCCCTTTGCAACAAACAGTTGTCATTCATGTGTTGTGTGGAGTCTATTCTTGCAGGGGATTGCGTCGAGAGTCTTTCTCCTGCTGCTATGTAGGGGGTGTTCATATAAATAGTATCCCTCCGCTAGATCACCGTCTTTGCATTCTCTGTTGTGGTGCATGAGTGTGGTGTTGGTTTGTTAGAACCACACTGCACTCTGTGCGACAGTCCCATTGAACGACTGTGCTGCGCCTAGTGCGCCGCTCTATAGTTGCAGATGGAGTGTTTGTGGGCTCTGCACTCTTACATTCCCCATTCGCTCTGTGTTATATTTACTGTCTACGCTCGTGCCAACCCCATACAACCCAGGCACCGGTACACAGCACTTGTATTTGTTGTGCCTTGGGCACAGCGTCTATTTGCACTTGTAGCTTCAGCGTCTATTTGCACTTGTAGCTTCAGCGTCTATATGCACTTGTAGCTTCAGCGTCTATTTGCACTTGTAGCTTCAGCGTCTATTTGCACTTGTAGCTTCAGCGTCTTTTTGCACTTGTAGCTTTAGCGTCTATTTGCACTTGTAGCTTCAGCGTCTTTTTGCACTTGTAGCTTTAGCGTCGATTTGCACTTGTAGCTTCAGCGTCTATTTGCACTTGTAGCTTCAGTGTCTATTGCACTTGTAGCTTCAGCGTCTATTGCACTTGTAGCTTCAGCATCTATTGCACTTGTAGCTTCAGCGTCTATTGCACTTGTAGCTTCAGCGTCTATTGCACGTTG